CCTATAAACATTAAATCTAGGTGGTTAAAGACAAACTTATAGGCATGATTTCTAAAAAATATAACGAACAAATAAGCATATAAATCCCCCTCCCCTAGACGACCCCCAAATAAATTTATTATATGATCTTTAGGGTTACAATTGTTACATCATTCGAATAAATAAAATAGCGAAAAAAATAAAAATATATAGATATATATATACATTCAAACAAATAAATAAATCCTTCTTCAGTTAATCTTCAACTTGAACTTCAAATATGAAACCCGTTAAGCAAAACGAATTGATTCAACCTTTACTTGAACAAAGTAATAAGATAGCAAAGAAGAACCCTTGAATAATTACCGGAATATTAATGTTTGTTAAGTAGTAAGAGAGCAAATGAGAGAAGGGAGAATGATGAGAGAGTTTTGTGATTGAGAGTGAATGAATGTATGAGTTGTGAGTTGATTAGTTTTTTTTTAATAAATAAAAAGGGGTCTTATTTATATAGCAAAGAGGGGTGCACTTAATAAGGAAGATAAATAAATTAAGGAATCAATTATAATACTATTTTCTTATTTTGAAGGAAGTCAAATCAGCCAAATTATTTAAATATTTTACCAAAATATAAGCAAGTAATAAAATGAGAAGAGTAATATATATTTTCCTTAAATAAAAAGAAGCCAAAATCAGAAAATATTATTTTACCATAAATAAGCAAGTAAGAAATCAATGCAATTCTCTTAACTTAATTAAATATTACTTTTCTAAAATACAACATGTTAGAATATTAAAATTAATCAAATAATCAACTAAAGATGAATATAATATTTTAAGGGATACAAGAAATCAACAAATACCATTTAAAAGACACCGTAACAAATCACAATTGGATCAATATATACTTACCATAAGCAAATCCTAAGCTTAAATGAGCTCACTAAATAAATTAAATTGAATTGAAATTAAGTTATTACTCAAACTATTATACCATTTCCGATAAGACAACCAATTATTCTAATTTCAAAAGGTTAACAATCGGTTACGGAGTGAATAACAGAGAGGTAAAATGAATCACCAATTTCTTTTTTTTTTACATTACATCAAGAGGGCATAAATATATGTTAATCATATAAGCAATTTATGCCAATTTACACCAACTGTCATTGTCACAAGAGCAATATTGACAAACAAAAAATGATATAGTCACAATGAATATTATTGGGGCCAATTAAAATCCTTAATCAAACCCACCAAATCAGATTCAAGGTGAAAGGAACATAAGCAAGATAACATGCTGTAATTTCCGACAATAACATATTAACAGCAATTCTCAACTCAATCACATCTAGCTTTAACACCGAAATCATATTAAATCGCGATATATTATATTTAAACAGATACAAAAGATGAATTTCAAGCACAATAAACTAACAAAAATATCGATATAGAACAACAGCCCACATGCATCGATTTAAGTAATAGAAGTTCGCATAAAAAACATGTACCTGGGACATATCTGAAAAGATTCACCTTATCTGTTGATTTACCTCCCGTTTCTTGTAGGAGCCTCCTTGTTTATCGCATGTTCTCGCTGCTGCTCCTAGTCCTGCAAAAAGAAGAAGAGCGAGAGGCGGAGGGAGAAGAGAGAAGGGATGAGGGGGGAGAGAAAGAGACGGCTGGAGAGAGGGGGACGATGGGGCTGCTGGCTAGCGTTGCTGCTGCTGCGTCTGGTCGCCTCTCCTGGCTGCTGCTGCGTGGAGTTGCTACTGCCTGGCAGCTCGCCTGAATGCTGCCAAAGATTAAAAAAATGCGGAGAAGAGATGAAGAGATGGACGGAGAAGAGAAGAGAGGAGAGGATGACGCCGGGATGCTGGTCGATGCCTTTGCTGATCCTCCACCGGAGCTGCTGCCGTCCACCGGTCTTCTTTTATTGTTGTTTTGTTGTTGCCAATGACGGGGAAGAGAAGGTGGGGAGAGATGGAGCAGTGGAGGAAGCGGATGGGAGAGAAGAGGAGGGAAGAAGGAGAAGGGAAAGAGGGAGAAAGAGGCGGTCGCCGGAAAAGAATGGGGAGAAAGAGAGAGGGGGCTGGCGGCTGCCAAGGAAGGGGAAGGAGAAGAATTGAATGAAAAATCTTAGGGGTTATTTTAGATGTTGAGCGAATATGAGAGTTAATCACAACCGTTAGATTAGATAGCGATGAAGGGTTAGGATTCGATCTAGGATTTATTTTTTAAGATGGACGGATGAGATCAAAAGATGAAGTTTTGAAATTATATTAGCAAAGATATAGAATGGCTAAAATTACAATTAAAGTGGCTAGAATTGAAATGAAAGGGAGGCTATGATTGTAATAAAACTCTAATTCAAGTGGCTAGAATTGGAAGATTTTAGAATAGAATAGGCTAGAATTTAAATAATTTTATTAAAATACTACATACATTAAAATATTTGTATAATTGAAAATCATTTAAATTTTAAAACATTTGAAATAATATTTACAATAATTTTATAAAGAAAATGATACTAAAATATATAATTTTTGAGAAAAATCGATTAAAACTTCGAAACTTTAAGTAAATTTTAAAATACGTATTTAGTCGAATATAATCCTAAAAAATGGTTAAAGGTCGGTCAAAATTGGGTGTCAACAAACACTTGAACGACTAACTATGGATTGTTTCTTAGAGGTCCAAGAAATACAGTTTGCACCTCGGTAGATGTAATAGTCTGTTGTTGATCTCTTACTGGTGGTACAACCTCCCTAATGAGCATTGGAGTACCCATACAACCTTCATGGTGATTGTGAAATAAGTCTAAGTCCTAAGTGTAGAGTGTCTTTGATGTATTTGAGAGTTCTTTTCACCCCTCACTGTTCGAATTTTGCATAAATTGACTTGCTAAATTCACAACATGAGTAATATTTGGTCTTGTAAGAATCAAGTATTGAAGACTCTCTACTATCATTATATAAAATGATGGTTCAACCAGGCTTCCAACAGCTTTATGAAGATCATGTTCTTGAGCCAAAGGAGTGGCTATACCCGTTGCAAAAGTCATTTCAGTCTTGTTTAACAGCTCAGCAACATACTTACTATGACTTAAGTGTATGCCCCCATTAAAATACTTAACCTCAACTGCAAGAAAAACGTGTAAATGGCCAAGATCTTTCATGGCGAACTCCTTCCCAAGTTGTAGAACCAACTCTGAGACATGAGATGAATTACTTCCTGTGACAATAATATCATCCACATATAACAAGAGAAATATTGTTCGCTTGTGAGTTTTCAAAGTAAATAAGAAAGGGTCAACCTTACTACAAATGAAACTAAGGTGTAAGAGATATATATATTGAACTTATCAAACTAGGCTCTTGCTGCTTGTTTAAGACCATACAACGCCTTTTTAAGTAGACATATATACTGAGGATACTGGGATCAATAAAACCAGGATGTTGACTCATGTACACCTCCTCTTGTAAGAAGCCATGGAAAAAGATATTTCTGACATCGAGTTGTCTAACTTCCCACTTTGAACTGACAACAATGGATTGAACCACCCTAATAGTTGTTACTTTAACTATAAAACTGAATGTTTCTTTAAAAAATATCCTTTCAAGTGCAAGAATCCCGTTTCCACAAGTCTGACCTGGTATCTATCTATTGTTCCATCATCTTTTAATTTTGTCTTGAACACCTATTTTAATCCAACCAAGTTCATATCAGAAGATTTAAGCACCAAAATTCATGTCTTATTAGTATTTAAAACATTAATCTCTTCCTGCATTGCTGCAATCCAATAAGGTGATTTTAGTGTTTCCTTAGTACTATTTGTTTCTCTCAAAATTTCTGTGTTGCTGTTGATACCCAATTTTTGACCCGCGTTGGTATAAATTAATTATCGAGCTTCATTAGTTTTCAAATTATTTAAGTTAATTAGTTTTATAAGTCTTGCGAAAATAAAAAAAATAAAAAAATAAAAAAATAAAAATATGTATATATACATATACATATGTATGCATATGTATATGTATATATGTATATCTTAAGTTTTGAAGGTATTCTATTAAACTAGTTTACTTTAAATCACAACTATATTTTGAATCATTATTTTATAATTTAAGTAGTTATGTTGCTAAATAAATAAGCTCGTTAATAAATTTATATCAAATTCGTTTTAAATCGATTGACTCTTCTTAAATTTGACTTGTTTTCCCTTTTATTCACTTTAGAGCCGAAATTGGGCCCTTCTCCAACCTACCAGCCCACTCCAATTTCCCCCCCTCTCCTTTCCAGCCGCCCCAGGCCCAAAGGATGAGCGGCCCATTTCCCTTTCCCCTTGTCAACCCCACCTCAATTCTGAGGCCCATTCTCTATCCAACAGCCCAAATTTCCCTCAGCCCACACCTAAATACCCAATTCATTAAACACCAATCAAATACCCAACCAAATTCAAACCCAACGACCCAAACCCTTGTGACCCGCTCCGACCCGACCCCCTTCCCTTCTTCTTCCCCTAAGCGCGTCCCCAGACCAGCAGCCAATAATTCCCAGAAAGAAACGCGACAAATTCCCCTGAAATCGCACAATTCTCAGAACCCCCAACAACCCAGCGAAAAATAGACGCGATCTCTCCCCCCATCGCATCTCTCCCCACGCTCTCTCACTCTCTCCTCCGCGATCTCTCACCCGCGTCTTTCTCCCCACGCTCTTCTCCCTTCCACCCTCCTCTTCGCATGAACAAGACGGAAGCGCAGAGACCCATACCTGCCCCTGTCAAGCAGGTCTGCGAAACGTCGCAATCATCCTCGCCGGCACGCGATTGCCATGTGAGGTTTGACTCAAAGTGAATTTGAAATTTTTTGAATTCAAGAAGGGGCTAATTCTTCTCCTCTATAAATACCCCATTTCTTCGTCAGAGAAGGGGGGAGATTTTCATCGAAAAATTCGGAAAAAAAAGCAGAATTTGGGTTGGATATTTTTGGAAATTTAGTCGAAAGTTTAAGTTGAATCGTTGGTTGAAACTTTGTTAACATTTTAGCATAAGAACAGTCCAGTTCTTCAGCTTTCCTTACGCACTTCGGAAGAGTTGATCGATCCATCGGCTTCCTTCCCTCGCTTGGGTGTTCGAGTTGTCATTCGTGGCAGAAGCAGTTCGCACCTGCTCGTAGCGTCTCAATTCGCTGCTCGTCGACAGGTAATCCCCTACTTCGCATAAACTTTCTTGTTTCTTTCATTTCGAAATGGCTTCTTCTGACGATTCGTGTGGTGATGACGGTTATGAAATTTGAATACGGATGTATGTTGCAGCTGGCTCGCTAATTCTCTTATCGAGTCTGTTCGTTCGAATGCTATTGAACTGTTTGTGCGTTTTTGTGTGTTTAGAGTGTAGTCTTCTCTTGTTTTGCCTATCTCGTTCTAAGTTTGTTCATGTTGTTTATCTCGCTGGAGTTGTAGCTGAAGCCTCTCTTCATTTGAACCATCTCTAAGTTTTGTTGAAGTACACGGTTCAAGAGAACATGAATGTTGCTTAGCTTGTCTACATTTTATATATATATATATATATATATATT